TCCTTTTATAAATGCATATCTTTAATTTAGCCAACATGAGAGCTACTTTCCCCCATACCTTTAAATAAGAGGGCAGTTTCCCAAAGCAAAGCCCCTCTAATTATTAGTCCACTCAGTTGATCAAAATTACCTGTCCAGATATACGCTACACTAGCAAGTTAAATTTCATCCTGCAATTAATTTGCAGGATTCGCTGAACTGTACTTCTTTAGTAGTAAATTACGCCTTCTTCAAGTGTAAGACTTAAATTAAGGGTACTTTTTGGTTTTAAAAATGGTTCGTGCTATGCTTTTTTACACTTTTCAGGTATTCATTCATAGAACATATTATCCGTCAACTTGTTAATGACACCTTTACTATATAAAGCATGCTCTATATTCCTGGCAATATTGAATGAGAAATCTATGACTTCTTCCTAAAACCTCAGACGAAAATGTACTTTTTCCTTAAACAGGGTGTAGTGAGTGCGCTGTTTTTAAACCTTGAATTGCAGTGTAGCAGTCACTAGGTTTCAAAATTATTCCAAATTTTATAAAAAATGTAAACTGAAATACGTGCTTCCTTTGACTATAGAATTTAAAAAATACGCAACTTACTACCAAGCGAGTACAATAAATTATCCTTTTCTGTATGTATTTCAAAGAGTATATTTGATTCTATAAATGCAGTCAGAATCAATGACAAAAGGCATAGTTGCTTTTTGTAGTACGTGCTTTACCTTGGTGGTAAAGGGTAAACTCTTTAAAAAGATGATATCCTGACATGTCCAACATGTGTTGAGATGACCCTGCATAGTCGTTTTTATTACAACTATACACAATTAATATGTTGCAATCAAAAAAGCATTTCAGAATTCTTTTGACATTTCACGAGATTGTGAATGCACCGTAAAATATATATATATATATATATATATATATGGCACAAAGGTCCTCACCCGATCTATCTGGTAAGGGCACATACTTGTCCCGGAAGTGCCTTGAGGCTCTTTAATGAGCGATATCAGGCTTGTCACTTAGCGACCTCAGAATATGATGCACTGGATCTGACAAAGACAAGGGAGACCGGAATGGCCATTTCTAGCTTGTTAGCCGTCATCATCCGACCCCTGTTTGCTTGTTCACCGATCTATTCCACAGGATGCGCCCATCCTGGGATAATGCTTTTGCGAGT